ACCTTGTATGTGAGGAGCAGGATTTTGAATTCTGGATTTAACAGGAAGCCAATGAAGGCAAGCCACTTTTGAAGTGATCACTTTTATGTTTTATATCCTAATGATTGTACTCTCTTCCTGCATGGCAGCGCCCTAATTCATTGAATGGCTCAATCATTATTTAAAGCCTACTGTATTTTAATGAAGGTGGTATTCTTCCAGCAATTTTTAGAATTCATCCCTTCAAATAGCACCAAATAGGCCAAAACGGCATATATAGATTTTCCTTTAATTTGTCACTTATTGATATTTTCCACACAGTGTTTACCTTTGAAATGGTAGAAAATGATGAAACATGAGGTCTGTCATTTCAGGTCTACACAGTTAAAAAAAAAAAAAGAAAACCAAATGAAGTTAAAGATAGATCTTTAGTGGGCAGACACACTTCTGAATGTTTCGTGTACAGCATAAAATTACTCAGAAATGAAGATGAGTCAGATTATTTCATCAAGAGAAGATGCTGAAAAGAGATTTCCATTGTTCAAATAATGTTATTATTGATAGAGCTGCTGTTATTTTGACATGTTTGCGATGTGAAACACGTGGACGTTACATGTGACTCGTTTCTTTATCTTTCTTTTTCCCACAGCAAAAGTGTCTGCTCTATTCTCTATTTAATATGATTGATGTGACTTAGTGTGAAAAGATGTGTATTTAAAGTCAAACAAACAGGTATGTACATAGTTTTATGTCAAGTCACTTGTTTCACTATTTTTGAGACACCCAACAACCCCTTTGCTGGTTTTTGTGTTATTTTCTATTGTAAATAGTACTTTCATCACAAAGCACTCTGTGACATCCTGAAAATGGTGCCATATTACTGAACTTTTATTCTGTCTTTACCTAACCACGGTAATGTTACCAAGACATGACGTGCTGTAGATTATTTGGCCTGTGTCCTTTGTTTCAGAAGCATTTTTTCCTTTAAAATAAGGTTTTCTGTAAACACACAAACATCTTACAGACATGGAACTATGACCACTCATACATTTCTGTCTTTCAGCCCTCTAGTTTTGTATTCACATGAACAGTAGGGATGTCTAATGTCTGTCAATGAATTCTTATTGTGGACCCCTGACATTTAAAGGTGCTATACGTAGCATTTGAACAATAAATAAACCTGTACCACATTTAATTTGTGAAGCCTGTGTAATTACAGAGAACAAAGTAGCCAGGATTTGACCAAGGTGCTCCACAAGTGGCAACCTCTTTGTAAGAAAAATAAAGCCATGGCTCAAAGGCCCAAATCTGTAGTTCTCGAAGTGCAATGAAATAAAATCTGGTCTTTAAGTCTGACGTCATTAGCCGTGCCTGGGCCCAAACTCCACTGCAGGTCCATAAGTCACTCGGTCATTGCAGCATCAACGAGAGTTACAAACTGTCTAAATTCTTTCTACCACGTTGCTGCTTTACCAGGTGTAACAATTAAGTTTAAAATCCAGGCATCCATGAAAACCGAATTCATGAAATTTAACGGAGTTAGATGTTAGCAGGAAGTTAGCTCGCTAGCTTCCATCTAAATATAACACAGTGCTCAGTGTGCTTTTCATGGGAAATCAATGTCCTGACTGAGAGATTTCCAAAACAAATTAAGACGTAGAGCTGAAAAACTGGAAACTAAACAGCAGTGACATTTGTAGGGTTACTGAAGTTGGGCTAGCTGCTATATAATGATGTGCCAAGTGATCGCTAGCGACACAGCTATGTTAGCATAACATAAACAGTGAAGCTGGAGGATGAACGCTAACTTTTTTTCCACTTGATAAAAGTTAACGTGAGGGTTCCTGATGGTTAAGGACAAATGCAATCGCATGGCAGGATGCTGTAAAAAGACCAAACTTCAGTCAGGAGAACAACTGAGATAATCCATCCACAATACGAGGTTAGTCATTAATATACTGCTGCATGGGCTGGGCTGTAGTTACACCAGAAGGGTTTAAAAACTGAGCTTTAAAATGAACAGCGGTAATAAAAACTCAGAGGCCGACAGTGATCACTGACTGTTTTTAGGGGCTTGTGGAGATTCAGTAGAAAAAGATACAAAGTATTAAAACATGTTAAATACACAAAAGTCTTATTAAAGCAAAGCCGTTCCTTCCTTTAAAGGACCTTGAAAAGCTTATCCACTTATCACATCCAGATTGGACTACTGTAACTGCCTCTACTCGGGCCTCCAACACTCTTCTCTTTACCGGCTTCAGCTAATTCAAAATGCAGCTGCGCGTCTTTTAACAGGTACGAGAATCTATGAACGCATCACTCCAATTTTAGCCAATCTACATTGGCTCCCTGTTAAATATCGCATAGATTTTAAAATTCTTTTGTTCACTTTTAAAATTCTGAATAATTTAGCGCCCAGCTATCTTTCTGAACTCCTCCACTTATACAATCCCAACAGAGCACTTAGATCGTCCAATCACAGGCTCCTAGCACAACCTAGGTCTCGAATGAAGTCGAGAGGTGACCGGGCCTTTGCAACCGTGGCACCCAGACTCTGGAATAACCTCCCTGTTCATGTTCGTACTGCCGAGTCGATCCAGTCTTTTAAATCACGTCTTACAACTTATCTTTTTACTTTGGTTTTTGATTCTAACCAGTTGGCTGTTCTAGCTTGTTGTGTTGTTACGTATTGTTTGTCCTGTTTCATTGTTTGTTTTAATTGTCTCGAGTTTTTACTGACTGTG